ATTGCGCTGAAACTTGGCATGGAGGTAGTCACCTACCAGGCAATCCATTTTCATGTGCCACGGTAGGGGTGCCGGTGCACGTGCGCACGTGCAGGGTGACGCTTCCAGATCTCGTGACCGGCCGGGCCGATTGAGTTCAAATTTGGCACACCGCCAGAGACTGCGTAGTAGGGTGCCTTGCACAGATCAGTTGGGTCCCAGGTTGCACGTGCGCACGTGCAGGGTGACGCTTCCAGATCTCAGGAACGGCCGGGCCGATTGCATTCAAATTTGGCACACCTTTAGAGACCGATCAGTAGGGTGCCGTGCGCATGTCAGTTAGTATGTATTTTCATGTGTCACGGATGGGGTGCAGCTGCACGTGCTCACGTGCAGGGTGACACTTTCAGATCTCGAGAACGGCCGGGCCGATTGAGCTCAAATTTGGTACACCTCTAGAGACCGGCCAATAGGGTGCCGTATTACGAATACCCGTCACGACCCCTAGCGGTTGACCTGACTTGACCTGACTCAAATTTGGCACACCGCTATAGACCGGCGAATAACCGCAGGTTGTTTGAAAAGACAAACACTATTCGTTAGAATTGTGTTTTTCTATTGAAAAACAACCGGAGCGGTCGTTCTCCGGGCTATGTTTTGCAAGTCTGGCAGCGAATCGAGACATTTTGGGTGGGGCCTAAACGTGCATTGCGATTTTCGTAAAAAGTTCAGCGTATGGGCTCTCGGGGGCGATCTACCTGATGGCACCGGTCGCTACTCGCTTAAAACCTCGTGGCACGTGGCACGTGCGATTCCATTTTCCCCATGTTAAGTCAACGGGGTTTTGGACACTTTTTGCGCGATCGCGAATAGCGGGAAAAATCGCAGGTCAAGGTATGGTTTGCTGCACACCATTTTATGGCCGACACGTTCAGGTACACGCCCCTGTGCGTCGTATACCCGTAAGAAGTCGATACTTTTTGTAGTACGACTTTGAAGTTGAACTTTTTTCGCTCCCCATGTTAAGTCAATGGGCGTTTTTGCAGAGGCATTTTCATTCGCTCATTGTACAAAATTATATGATACGATTTTGTTTAAACTTTCAGGACTTGTTGAGAAAAGACCATAGAATATGTTGTTATGCTTCGTTAAGCTGTCAGAATTCGTTTGTTCTTTTTGAGCTCGTTTAAAGAAGAAATTTTTTAACATGCAAAGTCAATGGGAGCGTCTTTGCTGCTTTATAACTTTTTACGTTAAAGATATGTTTAAGTCAAAAGTTGATATTTTATACAACTTTTGATGCTCTTTCCAATGATATATACAACTTTATTGCACGTGGTGCCGTTTTTGAGAAATATAGCAAAAAAGCACGACATTACCGAGATTTGAGCTCAGACCTATATCGTTACGGTGTCAGGCGGACACGAGGACAGGTGGCGCCGCCGCCGCCCGCATAGCGGCGGGAATGTGAACTAACCTGTTTACCATCTATGGTATGGTACCATCGGGGGACCGGCCGCCGTCGGCACCATTTCGGGACTTTGCATCGCAATAAAAGGCTTATTTACAATTGAAAATGGACTAGCGAGAGTCGTTATGGAATCAGAATTTGATGCTCTACAAAACTAGGCTATTTTCATTGTGATGGCATCACAGACTACACCGCTAACCCCAATAAAGCAGATTTATGTCGCGTCATCGATGATTACATATAATGTTTCTTTGATATATATGTAGTCGGGTCTTTCAGCTGCGTCCCTCCCCTCCCTCGCCGCGCCGGCGGGTCGGCCATCCGCGGCTTGCCGCCCGCCGGCTGCTGGCCGGTCAGCTGGCCGGTCAGCTGGTCGCCCGCGGCTGTCGGTGCAGTGCGGGATGCCTACTTGCGGGGGGCCGTCGTGGCGGCGGCCCGGGTGGACTGGGCGAGCAGTGAGTTGGGGAGCGCTGCGCTGTCGGTGCTCTAGTTTGTATTGCGTTCGCATGATACGGCTTGAGCCAATACAGAGTGAACTGATTGAGCTGAGCAAGTCTTTATATACATTGAAAAGTAAAGCACTTTTTACTGCATCTACGGTGAGATGCTAGATAAAATTTATGGTCTACCTAATGGTACCCATTACTTAACAATTAAGTGAATCATTTCGTCGCTAAACTCTCGTAAATTCGTATGTCCGCCTCACCTATGGAGTTTGGACCGTAACGTATGGCCTTTGCTCAGACAGTATACGAACAGGTGACGGGGATACCTCCCATAGAAGGATGCGACACGATTTTACTGCTAAATAGCGGCCGGCCGCCGTGGGGACGTTTTTGTACGACTTATATCTCGGCAACCACTGGGCTGATACACGTGCGGTTTATGGTGTGGGGTAGCTTTTTCCCTTCTTTCACATAGTGTGCTACTCTCGATGCATATGGGTGACCCCTAACGCACGTTCCACGTGCAAAGCCAAGAGGTGCCTGTTTTGTAATAAGCGCAATAGCTCGCGGTAATTACTGGGCCGATTGCGCTAAAACTTGGCATGGAGGTAGACACTTTCCAGGCGATGCATTTCCATGTGTCTTGGTAGGGGTGCAACTGCACGTGCGCACGTGCAGGGTGACGCTTCCAGATCTCGAGAACGGCTGGACCGATTGTGTTCAAATTTGGCATAACGCTTGATACCGATCAGTAGGTTGCAGTCATTTAGTATGTATTTCCATGTGCCACGATTGGGGTGCAACTGCACGTGCGCACGTGCAGGGTGACGCTTCCAGATCTCGAGAACGGCCGGGCCAATTGTGCTCAGATTTGGCACACCGCTAGAGATCGCGTAGTAGGGTGTCTTGCACAGGTCTGCTGGGCCCCAGGTTGCACGTGCGCACGTGCAGGGTGACGCTTCCAGATCTCAGGAACGGCTGGGCCGATTGCATTCAAATTCGGCACACCTTTATAGACCGGTTAGTAGGGTGCTGTGCACAAGTCAGTTAGTATGTATACTCATGTGTCTCGGTTGGGGTGCAACTGCACGTGCGCACGTGTATGGGTCGCTTCCAGATCTTGAAAACGGCTGGGCCGATTGAGCTTAAATTCGGTACACCGCTAGAGACCGGCAACTAGGGTGCCGTCCACAAGTCATTTGGGACCCAGCTTGCACGTGCGCACGTGCAGGGTGAGGCTTTCAGATCTCAGAAACGGCTGGGCTGATTGCATTCAAATTCGGCACACCTTTAGCGGCGTTACAGAGGTGCTTGCTCAAACAACCTGCGGTCCCGCGATGCGGAGCCCAGCATCGCAGATGCTGGTATATTCCGTGGTTTGGCGATAAGAACGGCCATTTTCTGCGTCACTTGCACATTGGCGTCAGTTAAAAAAGCCCAATGCTCAATTTGCTTATGTTTCCAATGGAAACTGCGCACAAATGTCAGCAACTTCTGTAAGCAACTGCTTTTGAAATATGTGCCATCATTGCCTCTGCCCAGCGTAGTACCTACGTACTACGCTGATATCGCTGATATCTTTTGAGCGTACGCTCAAAAGATGTGAGGACAACGAACAACATTTTGGGCCAGGACAGCTTAGAAACTTCGTCCTCTGGCAGACTGCGAACACTGCCCTGATCTTAAACAAAAATGTTTAGGAAATAGGAGCACATGGTATGGTAGGGTGACTTTTGATGACCACATATGGGCTTTAATGCAGCCCTCGCTACTGTGGGTGATAAATGGTATAACATGCAGGTACTTGCGGTATCGCGTCCACTTATCAGAGAGAAACGGCTTCCATTTTCTTTAAGGAATTGATGTGATTTCATTCAATTCAGCGAAAATAGTGATAGGAAACAGCTTTTCTGCAGGTTGTGGGTGTCACAATCAGCTGGTCATTCCATGAATGGATCTGTATTTAGAAAGAACATTATTAAAAGATTTAATTTCATTTCCATAAATACAGATACCTATTTAAATTTAAAACAATGTTTTAACTACAATTGGAAAAACCATAAACAAAATAACGAAAACAATGACATTTTAACCCTCGCACGACCAGGCCATTTCTCATAACACGAACGACCAGGGGGGGGGTTGTTACGACCCCCCCCCCCCCCTGGCGTTTCGAAACGGAAGGTCGTAGAGCTTAGCGGAAAAAACCAACGGATTGCTCTCAACGAGATCTCGCGATTGGTGGTATATTTTTTGGTCCTAGGTCAACATTTGACCTACTTTTGACCGGTCAAAGGTCAAATTTTCGGAAAAATAGACTTTTTTCAACTTTCGGCGGCGATTGCGGCAAAACGGTGGGAGATATCGACTTGAAACCTTCACTATCGTGTTCCTTGATCAATTCTCTATCGTTTGGTATGTATTTCGTTTCCCTAGCTCTAAAAATGGCGCGTTGGGAGCGCCGGAAGTCGGCAAGGTCACAGTCGGCGGCAGAAATTCGAAAAATCAAAATTTAAATTTTTGAAATCTGATTGTATTTTTGGATTTGGGAGGTCCATTTGCTCCCTATAGAAGCTAATATTGCTGCATATTCCCATTGAGGTGACAAGAATTAGCAAAATAGTGGTTCGGGCGCTTTTCAAAAATAGTACCGGACGCTGTTCCTCTTGTGACGTCATAGCTCCGTGACCTGACCTGACCCGGTCAAATTTCTTATACCATATGATAGCCAATACTTGCCCCAACATGCATGGGAAGTTTCATCACGATCCATCAACCGATGTCCGTACCACCGGCAGGAAACCTCGGGCGTTGGCACTCAGTTTGTGAAAATCCGGCCGGAGGCTGTACCTCTTATGACGTCATAACTCCGTGACCTGACATGACCCGATCAATTTTTTTTCGGCAAAAGATGCGCAAAGGTTGCCCCAGAGGGTGTTGAAAATTTCAGCCCGCTACGACAAGCCGTTTAGCGTGCACTTCGAAAAAACCTCAGGGGGGGGGGTTGATACAACCCCCCCCCCTAGGCGTTCTAGGGTTAAGACCATGGTACTGCTTACATTTTATGGCATGTCTGTTTCAATCCACCATATTTGCCAATCACTGTTTGACCTTGTATTGTAACTCTGCGATTTAGAGCCGCCAGTGCATTGTACACTGAGTGAGTGTAGGCATTGTGTGGTTAAAAAACATTCTTATGCCTTATTTTTTTCATTTGAATGCTAGGATGCATTGAAAAGACTAAGTTTTCTGATTTTATGACCATAGGTATATGGTCATCACCCCGCCCACTCCAGCTGTTGATTGGCTGAGCAAATTTTAGTTTGGCGCCTCATTGCTTGCCCAACTGACCTTCATTTTTTATCCTTCTGAATTGCCGGACATCAGTTTTATGCCAATTAATTATTTTTTTAACTCACCTGTTAGGTGTCTTCAACCTCTGCTTGTAAAGGAAGGAGTGGAAACCTAATGTGTGCAGAGATGCGCCAATTCCTTGGTGGGCAGATGGCATGACCTCAGGCAAGAAATTGGAATGGTGCGTCTGCATTTGGTAAAACACAAAAAACTTGTGCGTGTTTTAAGTGCCAGAATCCTAGACAAGATGTTGTGTAAATGAGAAGTTAAGTGCCAACTTGCCTAGTTGTGTAAATGAGAAGGGTACTGAAATGTGATATGTTCTTGCCCTTGGAAGGAAAGGTCAGGATAGCTAGCCTAGGTGAGTCCACCCCGCTCCAGCTTGAGAAGGGTGGGCAGCAGCTACCTAGGGGGAAGGGCAGAATATGATAGGTAGTACAGTATGCGCGTATAACCCCGCCCTAACTTAGGAAGGGTGGGGTGCTTACCTAGGGGGGGGGAGGGAGGGAAGGGGATGAAGGAGAGATATGAATCGTTTACCTTCTCTTATCCTGTGTGTTCTACTTCTCCCAGGCTGTCGCGGGCAATGTGCGGGCTGCGATGGAAACCGCACTGGCTGCTGCAGCCCCATTTTCGACATTTTCGACACCGTCTGTGGCCGATCCGTCTGTGTATACAATGTAGTCGGCTGGCGGGAGTCCCGCCAGGGTCTCCTGTGCCGCCTCCAGCCGCTTGTCCGGTGGGTCCGTTCTCTTTGTCGGTCTCGCGACAGCACTTCTGATGGTGACGCTTCCCGCGGCACTCCCCCACGGCGGCGTCCGTGGGACCACCAGCACCGGCTCCCGCGGGAGATCTCCCAGACCAGCGTCTGAGGACGTTCTGGTCGGCCCAGCCTCGGTCTCGGTGGAGCCGCTTTCTGGGTCTCGCCGCTGTCAGCACCGGCTGCAGGGGGTCCCCCGGGAGGTCCCTCAGGTGCCGCTGGGTCGCCGCGGCCGTCAGCTGCCTCCGCCGTATCGCGAACGGCATCACGTCCGCCTCGCGCTCCAGCGCTGGCGCCGGGGTGGACCTGAGGCAGCCGGTGATGATCCGGCATGCCTGGCGCTGGGCGACCTCCAACTGCTCCAGAGTAGTGGAGGCCACTCCTGGCATCCAGCCCGCTGCAGCGTAGTCCGCGCACGCCCTGATGTACGCCAGGTAGAGCGACCTCGGTAACGGTAGCGCAGGCTTCACCGATAGCTTCGGCGGTGTAAACAGTCAAGGTAGGTGTATTGTAAGTATATTGACATAGATATGGTAACACTGTTAAATTATATGACGTCATTGGAGTATGAAAAAGTCTCTGGAACGTGTCAGGGAGGACAAAATGGGACTCGGCCGGTTCCAGCGGGACATATTGGGACTCAGCCGACTACCGCGGGACATAGTGGGACTCGGCCGGTCCCAGCGGCACACAATAGGATTCGGCCGGTCCCAGCGGAACACAATTGGACTCGGCCGGTCCCAGCAGGACACAATGAGACTCGGCTTGTCACAGCGGGACACAATGGGACTCGGCCGGTCCCAGCGGGACATATTGGGACTCAGCTGACTACCGCGGGACATAGTGGGCCGAGTCCCAGTTCGAATCCCACTATATCCCGCTGTTGTCGGCTGAGTCCTTCTTTGTGTCGGCCGGCCGAGTCCGGCCGAGTCCCATTGTGTCCCGCTGAGACAAGCCGAGTCCCACTCTGTCCTGCTGGGAGTGGGACCGGCCGAGTCCCACTATGTCCCGTGGTAGTCAGCTGAGTCCCAATATGTCCCGCTGGGACCGGCCGATTCCCATTGTGTCCCGCTGTGACCGGCCGAATCCCATTGTGTCCCACTGGGACCGGCCGAGTCCCACTATGTCCCGCGGTAGTCGGCTGAGTCCCAATATGTCCCGCGGTAGTCGGCTGAGTCCCACTTTGTTCCGCTGGGACCGGCCGAGTCCCATTGTGTCCCGCTGAAACTATTCGAGTCCCGTTGTGTCCTGCTGGGACCGGCTGAGTCCCAATATGTCCCGCTGGGACCGGTCGAGTCCCATTGTGTCCCGCTGTGACAAGCCGAGTCTCATTGTGTCCTGCTGGGACCGGCCGAGTCCCATTGTGTCCCGCTGTGACCGGCCGAATCCCATTGTGTCCCGCTGGGACCGGCCGAGTCCCATTGTGTCCCGCTGTGACAAGCCGAGTCTCATTGTGTCCTGCTGGGACCGGCCGAGTCCCATTGTGTCCTGCTGGGACCGGCCGAGTCCCATTGTGTCCCGCTGGGACCGGCCGAATCCCATTGTGTCCCGCTGGGACCGGCCGAGTCCCATTGTGTCCCGCTGTGACAAGCCGAGTCTCATTGTGTCCTGCTGGGACCGGCCGAGTCCCATTGTGTCCCGCTGGGACCGGCCGAATCCCGGTCTCCCTGATTTGTCCTCACTGACACGTTCTAGAGACTTTTTCATACTCCAATGACGTCATATAATTTAACAGTGCTACCATATCTATGTCAAGATACTTACAATACACCTACCTTGACTGTTTACGCCGCCGAAGCTATCGGTGACGCCTGCGCTACCGTTACCGCGACCTCAGGTCCGTGGTGCTCGCGCCCCAGGCTTTACCTCCAACTGCTCTCAGGGCGTTGCACCTTCTGACTCCTGGCCTTGAGGCTAGCCACATGCTGTCTGAAGGATAGTGTGCGGTCGAACGTGACCCCCAGGAAGGTCGGCGTCGGTTCGTGTCGCAGCCTGGTGGTCCTCATGTGCAGGCAGGCCTCCCGTCTCGCCTCGTGAGGGTCGAGGGTGAAGACAGTGGCCACGGTCTTCTCCGCGCTGACCTCCATCTTCCAGCGGTCCGCCCACTTCAACAGTTCGTTGAGGGCCGCTTGGACCCTCGTCTCAGCCTCGGCGATGGTCCTCCCAGTGGCGAAGATAGCCAGGTCGTCTGCGAAGAGGGTGATTTCGACTCCCGGCGGGAAGTCGGTGGCGATATCATTTATGAAGAGAAGGAACAGGAGCGGCGAGAGCACCGCTCCCTGCGGCGTGCCCTCACGCACGCAGCGGTAGCCTCCGAGCTGGCCGTTGAAGCGGACGCGCGCCTGCCGGTCCTCCAGAAAGGCACGGACCCACGCCACCAGGCAGCGCGGCAGTCCGAGGTCAGCCATCTTCCAAAGGAGCCCGATGTGCCACGTGCGGTCGAAGGCCCGCTTGAAGTCAACCAGGGCCATGACCGTCCTCCTTCTCCTCTGAAAACCGTCCGCGACAGCCTGGGTGACTTTCATCACCTGGTCTTCCGTGCAGCGCGCCCGCCGGAACCCCGCCTGGACCGGGTGCAACAGGTTCCTCCGCTCGACCAGCCAGTAGAGGCGCGCCTGGACCAGCCGCTCGACCACCTTCCCCAGGCAGCTGAGCAGGCTGACGGGGCGGTAGGAGCCGGGCTGGTCACGGGGCTTCCCTTTCTTGAGAATCGGCACGATTGTGCCCTTGCGCCAGATCGAGGGGAGTTCACCCCGGGCCCAGCTGAAATTCGCCAGCTCAAGCAGCTTCTCCCGCCCGGCGTCGCCAAGGTGCACGATCATCTCGTTGGTAACCCCGTCAGATCCGGGGGCCTCGCGTCCGGCGAGTTTAGAGATGGCCGTGTCCAGTTCCCTTCTTCCGAAGGGGCTGCAGCAGCCAGTGCGGTTTCCATCGCAGCCCGCACATTGCCCGCGACAGCCTGGGAGAAGGAGAACACACAGGATAAGAGAAGGTAAACGATTCATATCTCTCCTTCATCCCCTTCCCTCCCTCCCCCCCCCCCTAGGTAAGCACCCCACCCTTCCTAAGTTAGGGCGGGGTTATACGCGCATACTGTACTACCTATCATATTCTGCCCTTCCCCCTAGGTAGCTGCTGCCCACCCTTCTCAAGCTGGAGCGGGGTGGACTCACCTAGGCTAGCTATCCTGACCTTTCCTTCCAAGGGCAAGAACATATCACATTTCAGTACCCTTCTCATTTACACAACTAGGCAAGTTGGCACTTAACTTCTCATTTACACAACATCTTGTCTAGGATTCTGGCACTTAACCCTCGCCCGTAAACGGCGATCTGCCACCTTCGCCCATGCAGGGGGGGGGGGGTTGGTGCGACCCCCCCCCTTGGCGTTTGAAAACGGAGCGTCGTAGAGCTTAGCCGAAAAGACCAACGGATTGCTCTCGCCGAGATCTCGCGATTGGTGGTATATTTTTTGGTCCTAGGTCAACATTTGACCTACTTTTGACCATTCAAAGGTCAAATTTTCGGAAAAATAGACTTTTTTCAACTTTCCGCGGCGATTGCGGCAAAACGGTGAAAGATATCGACTTGAAATCTTCACTATCGTGTTCCTTGATCAATTCTCTATCGTTTGGTATGTATTTCGTTTCCCTAGCTCTAAAAATGGCGCGTTGGGAGCGCCGGAAGTCGGCAAGGTCACAGTCGGCGGCAGAAATTCGAAAAATCAAAATTTAAATTTTTGAAATCTGATTGTATTTTTGGATTTGGAAGGTCTATTTGCTCCCTATAGAAGCTAATATTGCTGCATATTCCCATTGAGGTGACAAGAATTAGCAAAATAGTGGTTCGGGCGCTTTTCAAAAATAGTACCGGACGCTGTTCCTCTTGTGACGTCATAGCTCCGTGACCTGACCTAACCCGGTCAAGTTTCTTATACCATATGATAGCCAATACTTGCCCCAACATGCATGGGAAGTTTCATCACGATCCATCAACCGATGTCCGTACCACCGGCAGGAAACCTCGGGCGTTGGCACTCAGTTTGTGAAAATCCGGCCGGAGGCTGTTCCCTTTGTGACGTCATAACTCCGTGACCTGACATGACCCGGTCAAATTTTTTTTTTATCAAAAGATGCGCAAGGTTTGCCCCATAAGGTGCCCAAAATTTGGCGGCGCTGCGCGCCGCCGTTTTTGCACTATTTCCGAAAAACCTCAGGGGGGGTTGCACCAACCCCCCCCCCCCCTACATGGGCGAGGGTTAAAACACGCACAAGTTTTTTTTGTGTTTTACCAAATGCAGACGCACCATTCCAATTTCTTGCCTGAGGTCACGCCATCTGCCCACCAAGGAATTGGCGCATCTCTGCACACATAAGGTTTCCACTCCTTCCTTTACAAGCAGAGGTTGTGGACACCTAACAGGTGAGTTAAAAAAATAATTATTTGGCATAAAACTGATGTCCGGTCATTCAGAAGGATAAAAAATGAAGGTCAGTTGGGCAAACAACGAGGCGCCAGACTAAAATTTGCTCAGCCAATCAACAGCTGGAGTGGGCGGGGTGATGACCATATACCTATGGTCATAAAATCAGAAAACTTAGTCTTTTCAATGCATCTTAGCATTCAAATGAAAAAATAAGGCATAATATTTTTTTTTACCACACAAAGCCTACACCCACTCAGTGTACAATGCACTGGCGGCTCTAAATCGCAGAGTTACAATACAAGGTCAAACAGTGATTTGCAAATATGGCAGATTGAAACAGACACGCCATAAAATGTAAGCACCACGGTCTTAAAATGTCATTGTTTTCGTTATTTTGTTTATGGTTTTTCCAATTGTAGTTAAAACATTGTTTTAAAATTAAATAGGTATCTGTATTTATGGTAATGAAATTAAATCTTTTAATAATGTTCTTTCTAAATACAGATCCATTCATGGAATGACCAGCTGATTGTGACGCCCACAACCTGCAGAAAAGCTGTTTCCTATCGCTATTTTCGCTGAATTGAATCAAATCACATTAATTCCTAGTAGAAAATGGAAGCCTTTTCTCTCTGATAAGTGGACGCGATACCGCAAGTACCGGCATGTTATACCATTTATCACCCGCAGTAGCGAGGGCCGCATTTAAGCCCATATATGGTCATCAAAAGTCACCCTACCATAGCATGTGCTCCTATTTCCTAAACATTTTTGGTCACCAAAGGTTTTTTGCCAAAACTCCTTACAGGAACAAGATACAGCCGCGCGGATGGTCTCATTGTGTTCAGCTCGTCAAGGCGCATCGAATGATATGCATGATGACCTCGAGGTCACGTGACCTGAGATCAACCTTTGACCTTGACCTTTCGAGGTCAACATATATATGGTTCGATGCGGATTGACGTGAGGATCACGATGGTGCCCTTAGTTTGTTCCTAGCTTGGCTAATTGGGAGAAAAACTCCGTATCTAGCGCCGCCATTTTATTTTTTGACCCCTGTGACGTCATCTTTGACCTGACCTGAAAATGACCGTAGTAAAAACTGTAGACCTTGTCCGTGCGTATTCCAAACCGTTTACCGCTTGTCGCTATCTTGCTTCGTTCTCGAGATCTCGGGGGCGGGGAGTTAAGTTGGCGCAGAAATTGTAAGTTGGCCCGTCGGTGCGCTCACCTGGTTCACTCACCTGGTTGGGTTCCAACAATGTCCAGTAGGATAGAGATAGGAGAGTCAAGAAGAGGAATTTAGGAACCCCGTACACAAGGGACGTGCCAGCCTTGCAAAGCTATACAAAAGACACCTATCATGGAAAGTGGGCGGCTGGAAAGTTGCGTCCCGTCTGTGAGATTACATCTGAATATTAAGGCATGAATACATAAGTGTTAAACAGTGGAACATTCGTTGTGTGGAATTGTTGACAAGAAGGTAGCATAAGATAGGTGACATCAAACATATGCATACAGCAAATCATGTATATTGTATATCTCTGTGTAGACCCTGCTTGAATGACGAGATAGTAGGAGCGCACACCGTGGCGTCAGACAGAGTTCCAAACATGTATACACCTAATTGCAAACGACCTTTTACGCACATCAGTGTTGACGGCAGGGAGAAATGCTTTGTACCTGTGTCCACGGGTTCTGGTTAGGGTGGGTTGGGCAAATAGTTCAGCCGGCAAGATACATGAGTGGCCGTGAAAAATCTTACAGCACTGTATGAGGTCAGCCCGTAGCAGTCGGCCTTGGAATTTGGATAGAGTAAAGGTTTAGGAGCTGTAGACGCTCTCCATAGGGGAGAAGGGCCATACCGTCAATCTGCTTTGTCCAGCGACGCTGGATTCGCTCAAGTAACCGCAAATCCTGGACAAATCCGGTGTGCCACACGCAAGAGCAGTATTCAATTAGCGGCCGGATGTGCGTAGTTAGTAAAAACAACATAAACTTCTGAGATCGGCACACAGTTGACCTGAGAAAACTATGGGCGAGGCCACCAGCTTTGTGAGCAATCTTATGCACATGACCATGAAATTTTAAATTGGTGTCTACAAGAACTCTAAGGTCAGTTGCTGAGGACACGGAGGGGATAGGTTTGCCATTCAGGGTGTACAAGGGAGGACCCGAGAGGGCAAAAAGTCTGGAAAAGCGGAGAACAGCACACTTTTTGACATTCATGTGTAATCCCCATGAAGCCGCCGTACTATAAAGAATGTCAATGTCACGCTGGACAGTAATCGGGAATGAAGGAGCATGTGCAGGAGAGCTAGGGTATTCTATGCAAGCATAAATCTTAAGGTCGTCGGCAAAAATATTATGACTACAAGACAGTTCAGATGCGATACTGTTAACGTACACTAGGAAAAGTAATGGCCCTAACACCGACCCCTGGGGAACACCGCTAAGAACCGGCCTTGGTTGGCTGGTGTGGTTTTGGATACACACACTCATTGAGCGATGGGTGAGGAAAGAACGGATGGCAGAGAGTGTTCTACCCTGTATTCCCAGACATCGTAGCTTCTCAAGCAGCAGGACATGGGCCACAACATCAAAAGTCTTGCTGAAATCAAAGAGAATCTAGTCGGCGGGCTAAAATCCCACATTCGCCCCATTCTCGAGTACGCGTCACCAATCTGGAACAGTGGCTTTGCACAGGATCTCAAAAGATTAGTCTGTTCAAAGGCTCCGGACCCGCAATGTGATTGGGCTCCGTAATATGGAATACGGTGATCGCCCCCCCCCCCCAAAAAAAAATGGAACTTGACCTATTATCTGTGAGGGGTATGTGAAATCTTCCGAGGCGATATAATCAAATGCTGAAAGATTTCCACGGCCAGTCAGGTACCTACCCCGAAGATCCTGTTGGATCTGGAGGTCGACAAGAGAACTAAGGAGACAAGAAACAAGGTCGACTAAGGTCGACAAGAAACTGCCGCAGTTTTCCCACTATTCACGAAAAACCTCGGGGGGGGGGGCGGATAACCGCCCCCCCCCCGTCGGTGCGCGGGTTAGTATGTGAGTAATAGTCAGGCGAGCGACATTGTTAGATCGATAGATACTAGATAGATAAGCTTTATTTCAGACTCTGGGTCCTTACTTTTAACCTAACTATTCCGGGCGACTCTACCCTATTAGCGGAGGGCGGAGGCCTTCAAGACCCTCTTCAGGTTTTTCTTGTGCCATTGCCAAACGCCGCAAGACTGAAAGCTCATACTCGGTGACTTTTCCTAGACATTCATTGCGCACATTTTGACAAATAAAGTTGCCGAGTCAGGTCAGGTCAGGTCACCAGAGGCGGCTTGTTGACCCCACTTCAGAAAAGTTTGTAATCACGCCAGAGCTACAGTTTTTGACTGATCAATTTCTTTTCTTCATGTTTTAGTTAGGGTACCAGTATGTGCAATTTGTATATCTCGGAATTTTTATATCTGTGACCTGTGGTCAGGCCAGACTCGTGACCTTTGCATTGCAACCCTATGGAAAAATATTGAAATGCCTCCTGCTTCGTGTAAAGGAGTCAAAACCACCCAATTCTTTCGGTATGGTGGAAGATTATCTCATCGCCGCTTATTGACAGGGGCACCAGGAACGGTCTTCTGAGTTCATGTGACGTCATAAATCGTTTTTTCAATAAATCATGACATGATAGTGTTAAAGAATTTTAAGTGGTACCTAACTGCTCGCCTGGTTAAGGCGCGTCGTTTGGTATGCAGCATGACCATACCACACAACCTCATTGGTGAATGACTTGACCTTGACCTCGGATCAATTTTCAAATTGACCTGTGAAGGTAATCGCATACTTATTTCGCATCGCATCGACGAGAGCAAAAAAAAATGCATTAATTTTATGTTTCTTAATTCAAATTTATGTAAGTAACTAATTCCAAAACGTTTTATCGTTAATGACCTCTGGTGACCTCAATATTGACCTGACCTGAAAATGTTTTGTGTAAAAGTTGTAGATCTTTGACCCGCGTCCTGCTGGGGTCTGCCGAGCAACGCGGTCTGATGAGGGGGGGGGGCATTTTGCCCCTCCCCCCTTCTAAGATCTCGAGAACCACGCAACATAGCGACAAGCGGCAAACGGCGTTGGATAGCCCCAAAGGGAACTACCATGTGACCCAATTTCATTGACCTCGGTCAAACCGATTACGTCACAGGTCAGGTCAAAGGTCAAATTTTCACCGTTTACAGGCATTTCAAGAAATGCGTTGTAAAATCGAGTAAAATGCATTTCATTGAAAATCATCGTCGATGGGTAAATGTTCGTCAAACACATATTTTGCTATTTGAGGTCACTGATACCAGGTCAGGTCACAGAGGTCAGGTCACTGAGGGTCACAAATTAAAAATATTCGATGCATGTTTTATGTTCCAGATTATATGCCAAATGCGATTATGTGGGACAGGCAGCCCTTGGGGTCAGTTGAGATTATGTTTTGGTGAAGGTCAGGTCAAATTAGGTCAAATTTTAAAGTTGATATTTTTGCATAAAATGGGTATCGATTCGATGCAGCTCGTCGCGGGGAGTTCAATGGTGATCTCTGTTTTGCGCTAAGTGGTCTAGAATTGCTAAAAATTGAGTTAAAAAATTTGACGTCATCAATTTTTAATAGTTTTTTTTTCTAGTACTTGGCCAAAAAAGAGGTATCGATCTAAAATTTGGTATGTATATCGAAAAGCGCAGGGACTATCACATATATTTCGTTTTTCGAAATACGAAATTTTTTGGAAATTTTATGAGTATATCTAACAAAACATTTTTTCTTAATTTTGGGGGTTAAATCCCAAAATTTCGAAAATCAGAGATAGCAGTTTTGTAGCGCCGTCTTTTCTCTACACAACCACATAAAGAACTTTAAAATTGCTTGTTAACTGTAGAATTGGTGAGCGTTACAAGATGTCATGTTTTTTGCTCATTTTTACTCGAACATGACCTCAGTCTGACCTCAATAACTCCTGACCTGAGGTGACCTGTGACTTGAAGTTTTGTCTGAAGGTATCAAATTGATGCCCGGTAAGGTATCCAAAATTTGGCGCCGCCGTTTTCTCGCTATTTAAGAAAAACCACAGGGGGGGGGGGCAAAATGCCCCTCTCCCATCAGGGCGTAGGTTAAACGACCTATCAAACGCCTTTTGCCGTTTGTCGCTCCGATGTGTAGTTTTTGAGATCTGAAGGGGGAAAGAAAGAGGCAAGGTGGAAGGACTGAAAGGAATTGGAAGGTAACCTGAATGCCAGACGCACCAGCCCAGTAGCGATAATCTTGACCATTGCATTGTCCCAAAAGAGATCTGGCTGGC